ACAGCATGTATAAAAGACGAAAACCGTTTTTACGTTGAATGGTATAAGCGAAATTTTTACTGTGCAGGGAAGAAATTTTTCGTTTCATAAATAAGTTTATTATAACAAGACCACAAAATGACATAACTAAACTTTAAAACTCCAAACAGTAACCTGGGAGATAAAAAACACAACCCGATGAATCGCATCTGTATAAGATTCAGCCACGGTTGCAACAAAAGAATATCTACAAATTACATGGCGACCAAAAATAACGTTAAAACTAGTACATCTAAAATACGTACAAATTTTAGGAAAAACATTAAAAAAGAAATGCGCTAGCTAAAACTCGCTAAAACCTAGATAAAACAATAGCAATCGAACAGTGAAACGACGGGCGATTTACATTCGTCAAACCTTACGCAACATTACTACAAAACGATGCGTCAGAAGAAATAGATCTATCGAAACAAGACCACCACTGAAAAAAGGAGTCTGAGAACAGTAAAACGCAGCAGAATAAATAAATATAAGAAATCAACCGAAGAAAGATTCAGATACGACGAAAACCGCGCAAAACAGATCTCTGCGGCCAAGAGTGAGCAAGCATGCTCAGCATTTGATCGATACCATTAAGTAAGTATTCCTCCTCCTGATTATCATCACATGAACAAACAACTTTCGCTGTCGTCCTCCGTCAGCCTGTTGACCAACTTCAGAGGCAAATGGCACCACACATGTATGCATGCACAAATATGCCGTTACAAAGAAGTATCCAAGTACACAATTCGTAAGTATTGCAAATCCTCGTGTATAAAACGACTAAAACAGCCCATAGTCAAAAATTACTATAAATAATGGTTTCAATTCAAGGCGTACTCAGAGCGCGACCCGCCATAACTTACACAACAAATTTCACATTTGTACAACTGAATAGACATTCGCTGTTCAGCGCAGGCATCTTCCGCGGGAACATGTGCAACAGGACGCGAACGCAGCGAGTGGTACAGCAGCATAAGGAAACATTATCGTCGCTAAGCACAAAAGCGTGCCACAGAAGCCTGCGAATCATCTACTATCACCACCACCTTCCAAACGTTCCGTTTCATAAACCTGGGAATCTTAGACGGCGACCATAAATTGAGCAGGCAATAAGCGAACGTGGCGATGCTCAGGTTGGTGGTGTATAACTCCTGTCCTTGTTGCTCTTGCAGTTTCCGAGTGTATGCGTGACGCTGCTGCATGACTTGCGGGGGCGGCAGCGGACGGCAGAAGAAACGAGATCAGTAACTACACTAGTGCATACTGAAAAAATCATTTGGCCCATCTGAAGCAACCGCATCCTTGCTTTCGAACAGCTTAGATTCCTCACATATGCTCTCCTTGATCTTCTGGATCTCCGCTTCCTGATCCTGCAATGCATGTGCAACACGACTTTACACACATCTTAAGCAATTACACTTGACTGAAACGGAATGCCACTGTTGTAGTCGATCGCACAGCTGTCAGCCGAAGGTGCGGGAGGCACTGAATTTGGGCCGCCACCGCCACCACCACCATTGCCCCCAGGACCCGGTGTGCCGCCGTTAAGACCGTGCGAGGAGGCGGGGGAACTTTTGATATCCATCGGATCGCCGTTCATCATCATCTCTCCCATGTTGTTGTTGCCTGTTTCAGACGTGATTGGAAACTAGAAGTGATACGACAAAAGGTTAGCCTGATTATCAATGATTTACAAGATTATGAGAACGAAAAAGCGTTTAAGTTGACAAAGCATTCTGAAAGACTTAAGTTTGAGATAGTTTATTAGTTTTAACCATTCACTTGCAGAATTCGGAAGCAATATGGAACGATCAGAAACTCGTTGGGCTATCGTTCCTATTACTAGAACCTATTTGCATAATATCAGGCATGAGCCTCTGTCTAGTGAACAGCTAGCAAACTATTTTCCTCGTCAGGTACAGTTTGTTGTGATGAATAGATAATGATGGATCAAGCTTCGAATAACCTGAGCGCAATGCAGAATTCTTTTGGTCTCCTATATTTTTCAATCTTGATGGCAATAACCTGTCAATTGAAATCTCTTTAAAACAGGGTCGTTATCTCGACTGTCGAGAAAAAGAAGACTATGATGTTTGAAAGCACGTTTCAGAACATCATGCAAACCGGAAATTAAATAATAAGATACTGCGGTGGTTTTGCAAACATCACAGGCAAATTCATGTCAATATGCCACCTTCTCAAAGAATTAAAAACTCGTAATTTACTGGACAAATTTTTGTCATCCCATTTTTCTAGATCAAGGAGATTCCACAAAATCATGAAATTTGTGCGGAACTGGTTCAGAAGATTTATAATTGGTACAAAAGACTTAGACTGGTTCTTAGTTTATTACGACTGAAAATACACTTACAACGCCTATAGGCTGACCACTGCTGTTGACCTGCAACATGCCGTACCGTTCAGGGGGAGCACCGTCTAAAAAGTCACGATATAACACAAGCGAAACACGCGTAAACGCGATGATTACCGCAAGACATGTTTTGTGAATTTGACATTATAGGAGTACCAGGGCCGCCAACAGGGCCGTTCGCCACTTGCATCCCAGGTCCCTGCAAAACAGCAGCGTTTTTCACAACACAAAAGCACTGTGAAGCATTCTGAGGAAGTTGCATCTTAAGATCACAAGAATCAAGACTCAGTATATGATACGAAAAAACGCATTTAAAAAATTACACCAAACATATCAATAAGTTATATATTCAAACAAAATCATAAACGTTATAAGCAAAATCTACCAACCCTGAAGCCGCGCAAACCTAAGTACGTCTCGCATCATGTTACGGGCTAACACAATACTACTCACTGAATGCAGCGATGAGAAACGCATCGCTCAAACAACTATGATGCGAGATGCATCGCAGGTGTTGAAATACTATGAACGATGACCCGCTTAAATGGCATCTAAGAACAACAAAGAATGGTTTCTTACGCA